ACTACTGTATATTTCTTCTGCGTCTCTCACTCTGTCATGATGTCCATTGGAGTTTACCGCTGATACTATTAGTACCTCAGCTCGTCATATTTCCTTGCGCTACTGCGTAGCCTAATCACACTATATCACAACACGGCTCGTTGTCTGTGGGGCCATAGGTTTCACAACAGGGGTGGCGCCAGCGGGGAGGGGGGGTGGACGGGGCTAAGAGTCCCCCTTCGGAAGGGCTGGGCCCCCACCCCGTCGGGGAGGAAAAGCACTGTTCGTCGGGGACAAAAAAAATTATATGTATTTTCGACATATAAGTAGACTATAACATCGATTAAATAAGCCTTTGAAACCCTAAATTGTCAAAATTTTCGGGGCTTCGCCCTCTGGACCACTTTCGATACCTTTTAATCGAAGCTCGACCACGCCCACTTTGCTTTTCGTCGGGGAAATCTGACCCCTCGTCGGGGCATCCCCCACCCCGTTGGGGACCTCGGCCCCTCGTCGGGCAAATCCTGGCGCCACCCCTGTTTCAGAATACAGTATCTTCTGGGAGTTTAATCCTGGTATTATGTTGATTATTTCAATTTTATTTATAAAAGTTGAAAAGCGGGACAATTCGGTGGTTGGGTGGGACAGCGGGACACGACTCCCAAAAGCGGGACAATCCAGCAGAAAGCGGGACAGTTGGAACCTATGATATATCCTACATCCGAGGGGCTTTAGCCTCGAGCGGAGGTAGGTTTAAGTGTGGGAGTTCCCCTCCCTACCTAGGGGGGAAAATGAAAAATTATAACTCAAAGATGCCATATTACAGTGTTTGGTTGTTGGAATTTCACTTTCATTCCTGGAATTTCAATTTCATTATGAAAGGACAATAAAATCAGTCCATCATTTTCAAAGAACGCGAGCAGATAGCGCTCCTCCGCGCTCCTTAACAGGCTTTCAGGAATAGACCGAATCGGCGGCTCGGGTAACGTGACTTATAGTGGATATTAGGGGTTGATCTATCGAGATCGCGAGACGACAGTGCCTTGAATATGGCTTGTTGTTGATGTCAAGTGACATCATAGATGTTGCAAATGTTGTTTGGAATGCGAATAATAATTTGGTAAATCACTTAGAAGTGTTTCAAAATCAAATTTCAAACACTTATCAGTTTGGTCTCGTAAGTCTCCAATGGATAGTGGGAATATATATTTAAATATTTATATTAAAAGAAAGTACACTCGTTTAAATGTTAACACTTATTTTAAATAAATATTTATTATAGATAATTACAGGGAGTTTTTATGAATTATCAATCTCGTTATACACATGCTAAATCCAAATACGAAGGAATTAGATTTACCGAAAGCAACGGATGCATTACCGTACTCGCGCGAATTAGCGCCCCGTTTGAATAAGCGCCCTTCTCGAATACTGTAAGCGTTAAAAATTTCCTTAAGCGCCCCGTTTGAATAAGTACCCCCTTCTAAAAAATATCGTAAGATTTTATTTTTAGCAAGTCAATAATCCAATCAACCCTGGGACTGTGGTTGTTGGCATGATTTGAATTGCAAAGTGGAATCACATTCTTCTTAGGTCAATGTCAAAATGAGGATATTTCTCTTGGACAGATAATAGCTCCGATCCCTGGACAGACAGTACATTTTTAACTTTCCTCTTATTACATATTTGTCTAGGCCTAGTACTACTCCACTTTTTCTTTTTCTGACAATTTGCTCATTTAGCACATTCTCATCTGAGTTTTCAAGAAAACCTGCAATGATCCTGCCATCCTGCTAATTGCAATCGGCCGATGGCCAACAAGTTTATAACCACTACTCACCATTGCATCTGCTATTCTGCTGTCATGTAAATATTTACAGCATTCATAAACCATGTTCTCTGGACGATTATCTTTTCCTTTGCACCACCATTCGTAATGTCCTTATATATAATCTATTTTTCATTCAAAAAGTGCCTCTTCAATTTAATAAGTTCTCATAAGAACCCCTCGATTTTCATCTATTTTCATAAGCGCCCCCCCCCCCAAATTTCATAAGCGCCCCGTTTAAATAAGTGCCCCGTTTGAATAAACGCCCCTCAAAAAGTGAATAAAAAAAAGTAAATATTTTATTCGCGCGAGTACGGTATACAAGTATACATATCAAATTTATTAGGCTAAACTCGATTGGTAATTCATTGGACACTTAAAATAAGCAAGTTCAAGTAATGATGTGAGATGGCAGCCAAAATTCTCCAAAACAAACAGCAAACACGAAAGGGAAAGGAATATAATGTGCACTGGCGACAATGTGTAATATAACTTTGAATTACTCATACAACAAAACCATGTAAGTTATTAAAGCTAAGTTAACTTATTAAGACGACTTAAAACAAAAATAAATTCTTAAATTTGCTGCCAGAAATATATGGGTTATTGGAAGACCAGTATGAACACTAATTGACAAAATAAATGTTCCTATAATTTTTACCCGAAAGCCAAATACATTGATATAAGCAAAACTAAAACTTTCAAGTTGTCATAACTGAAGTTCAAATGTTTTGATAGTATATTATTGAAAATGAAACTATTGATAACGCACACATTACAAAAGCACTCTGACGCATATGCCACAATTTTATGCATGTTTCTTTACTGTAGGTTTGATTCCCTTTGTCTTTGTCTTTGTTCGTATCAAATTTCCACAATCTGAAGTGATAATATGCGACCCATCATTTTTTTTCGCAAACCAAACATTGGGTCGCGACCCATAGGTTGCGGAACGGTGATGTACGACTTATCCCAATCAGATCGAAAATTAAACCCTGTAAACAGAACTATAAAATCGATTTTTATTCTTATTAGCTCAGGGAGGTTTGACATAGCAACTCAGGGGAGGAAAAAATGTAGTTCAAAAGTAGTTGACACCAAATTACTTCATTATTTGCTTGGCTAGTCTATCAGTACTTTGTCTTCTTCTGTTTCTATAAAAAACTTCACCTCTCCCTTGTCACTTCTGTCTTTTCTTAAACATAATACTGGACTTAGGAAAGATTTCTGCTGTACAGACATCCTCGGTAAGCCTTTCGGTCCATAAAATAACGTCTGGGGAATAATTTGTAATCAGGGGTGGATTCAGAAATTTTCTGACGTGGGGCAGGGTATAGATATTCCAGGGGCGGATGTAGGTTCACATT